TATATTCAAGCAAGTCTACAACAATCTGCTTTTGGCTAGCTTGTCCAAATGACCAGCATGATGTTTTTGATGACTTAGCCTATAGGAAAATTAATAAACTTATCTTATACTTTTTTGTATTTTTGCAATTTGTATGTTTATTTTGTTTGAACTTTTTTTATTCACACTCTAAGCTACAAACCCACTTTTTAACACTACTGTTACTGAATCCGTACCTGCTCTCACACTTTTGTAAAGACTTTGTCAGGGCTGAGCGTTGACCATTGTGGCAGACAGTCTAAACAGCCCCATAACCTTTTAGTCTTGGTTTAAATTGACAACTGGATGAAAAGGTTCTGCTCCCTCACTGACATATGGCTGACAGTGATGTACAGCGGAGCAAAACAAAACCAAGGAGAAACTCTGAAGAGAAAACAGCAAAGGTCTTGGGAATCTAGCTTGTTTCAGTTTAACGTATTGGTCTGCTGCCTTCATGTCATTTCAAAAATCTGACAGCTCCTCAGCTTAACATCAAAGTTATATTTCATAATTGGCCAAGGGTGAAGGAGCCTGTTTGTCCAGTCCAAGCCCTGTTCCGACTGATTTCATTCTCAAGTTGCAGTCCCAGTGCTCATTGATTGCTTTCACTCATACCTAACCACATCTTGTCGCCCCATATAGACTCTTGCTTTCCAAACTCATCACTCGAGCCCGCAGTGTTGTGAGAAAGTCTGACAGGTGAAACCATTGCGCCTACCACGCTACCCACCTATGGGAGACACGAGGGAGAGTGACAGAACTTGAAGAGCCTAGCAAGGGTCCACAGAGAGATGGGAGACAACAGCGGCAGCACACGAATCAGTTTAATTTGCGTTCTCAGTTGCACCATAGAGAACGTGAGAGGAGTATGGATAACTTTTTTATTTTATACCTAGAGGCATAATATATTTTTACTCCAACATATGGTAAGGCTAAAATGTACTGTTAAATAAAAAATAAAAAAACAGCTAAAATGGATAAAAGAAACATACATACAATACATAAGTAAGTAAATAAAAACAAATACAACCACTTAAAGATCCTATATTACACAAAAATATCAGTCGTGCTCTTTTCCACCTTGTGATGTCATGTAGTGGTAGTTTTAAAATTTACAGCTACTTTTAACCTTTTGTTCAGTAGAGATTGGCACTTCCATGGCTGAAATCATCCAAATGATTCTAGTGACGGTGTATGGAGTTTTAAAACCCAATGGAGCACTTTCTGTATTACCATATGACCTCACAAGGTGAAACAAAGTATTTTCTGTTCAAGAGAAGAACTCACCCTAAATATGTTGTGTGGTAAACATGTGTGAATGAAACAAAACAAAACTCCAGGTATGTTTTTGATGAGGCAATAACATTATGACATAAATCAAAAAATAGCGGTATATGTTCCCTTTAAGCACTTTGTTTATAAGATGGAACAATGGTCATCTTGTCTCCAAGATTGCTGGTGATATCCTTGGTTACGTTGTTTATGTTACTGCTGTGTTTTTGCACAAGGCATTTTTGTGACTATATCACTGACTAATACAGTATGAAAATCTGTTTTTACTGTCTACATTCCTGGGATCTATTCAGAAAACTCAAAGGCAAATACAAACTGAACTGCAAAAGGAGGTGTGAGGCTGATGTGGCTAACTGCACGCACTCAGTCCCACTGAAACCATTTAATTTGAACAATCACAAACACTCACTTCAAGTTATTCATTCATTCATTTTCAGGAACACGCTTTCTGCATCACTCACTAGTCTTATTTTGCAACCTTGATTTCTTAGTTTTTTGTTTGCAAAGTAATTTTCTCTCTCTTTCTCTCTCTCTTTTTTTTTTTTTTTTTACCAGTGCACTATATGATTTGAATGCACAACAACAGTTTCTAGTGTCTAGGCATAGCTGCAAGCCATACATTAGATCAAGGCCACTTTAGATAGAAAAAAAGGATTCTCCCTAGTGCTTTGACTTGAATAGTGCTATAGGAACCAACACAGTGTTTTGGCATCGACCACAACATCATCAAACAGACAGTGAAGAGGTAGCAGCAAAATAGAGGAGATGGAGATAGAGGAGAGGAGTGATAGGCAGTCGAGATCAAGGTCCCATTGGATGAGTCACACAGAGAAATATAGGCTTCTGTTTACCCCCGAGTTTGGATGTTTCTATCAAAATGGTGATGAAAAGATTTTACCCCCTGCTGCTTTCAAAGACTTTTATACCACTGTGACCACGAGCAGCTATGCAATTTCCACAACACAAACTAAATTTAGTTTGTTACGCATAAAAATGTCTTACTGACAAGTCAGGTTAGGACCTACTTTTGCCCAGGATTGTTTGCGTTCTTTTATGATACCTGGTTCACATTAATGTTACCTACAGCGGAGGAAATAAGTATTTGATCCCTTGCTGATTTTGTAGATTTGCCCACTGACAAAGAAATGAATAGTCTATAATTTTAATGGTAGGTTTATTTCAACATTGTGAGACAGAATATCAAAAAGAAAATCCAGAAAATTAGCACTGGTGCTAAAACTTGGTATCCATCTCTCCTGTTAAGGTTAATGTATATTGTGCACTGTCCATGTCTCATTAAATAACTGCATTAAAATCATATTATAGAAAATATATTAATTAATTTGCATTTCATTTGAAATAAGTATTTGATCCTCAATTATTAAGAGTTCTGGCTCCCACAGTCCAGACACTCTTAGTCGCCTGTATAAAAGACCCCTGTCCACAGAATCAGTCAGTCAATCAGACTCCAAACTCTCCAACATGGGAGAGACCAAAGAGCTGTCAAAGGATGTCAGGGACAAGACTGTAGCCCTGCACAAGGCTAAGTGAGCTACAAAACCATAAGCAAGAAGCTGGGTGTTAAGGAGACAACTTTTGGTGCAATTGTTCTAAAATTTAAGAAATACAAAATGAACATAAATCAACCTTGATCTGGGGCTCCACACAAGATCTCACCTTGTGAAGTTTCAGTGATCATGAGAATGAGAACAGTGACAAATCAGCCTAGAACTACACGGGAGGAGCTAGTCAATGATCTTAAGGCAGCTGGGACCACAGTCAGTAAAAAACAACAACATTGGTAACACTTTATGCCACAGTGAATTAAAATCCTGCAGTGCTCGCGAGGTCCCCCTGCTTAAGAAGACACATGAGCAGGCTGCCTGAAGTTTGCCAGTGAATACCTGAATGATTTAGCGAGGGAGAAGGTGCTGTGATCAGATGAGACCAAAACTGGGAGGGTGAACGGAGTCATGTATCGTAAAATCCTAAGTGACAACGTCTTTTTCTTAGTCAGGAAACTGAAAATGTGTCGTGGATGGGTCTTCCAACACGACAATGACCCAAAACCTACAGCCAAGGCAACGAAGTAGTGGGTCAGGAAGCAGCATATTAAGGTCATGGAGTCGCCATCTTCGAACCTTAACCCTATAGACCTAACCCTATTCTATCTCTCAACGTTAAAAGAAACCTACCATAAAAATTATAGACTGTTCATTTCTTTGCCAGTGGGCAAACCTACAAATCAGCAAGGGATCAAATATTTATTTCCTCCACTGTAAATAATAAGGCAATTCCTAGCTGCCTGGGAATGGACAGTATGAAATAAAAAAACAATTATTATATATCTCTGACTGTATATTATTTTATTTATTGATATTTTTGTGTACTTCTGTAGAGATCTAAACACAGACACTTACCACCTATTCCAGCTATTGGCCAGCCTCTGTCATGCTCTGAGTGAGCCAAGGGGTGATTTAACCAATCAGTGAAGCATTATGTTGCAAAAACAGGCAGATATCATACACTCTTATTTTATAAAGTGTGAGAAAAATTTAAATTGTGATCTAGGCTTCAAAAAATTGGGATATTATTCACCCCTTATGTAGACCCATTGAACAGAATAATTATGCTCTTCATTTGAATAATGTAGCCTACTATTTTCTCTCACCCAGTAGATTTCAATCACTTATTTTTGCTGGAACTGTCCAGTAATACGTTTCTTTGGCACTGTCTCAGGACCCACTGTAATCATAACAACTCTATTTTATTACAAGTAGGCTACTTTTAAATTGAACTGATGCATTTGGGGGAAAAGGGTCTATTATGATTAATAATAATAATAATAATAATAATAACAACATTATTATTATTATTATAACATTATATTATACAAACTATTAAGCTTTGCTTCCAAACCATTTGCTGCCGAACTAAGCTAAATACTTTCGCTGCAACCAGCAATTAACGATGCTGCATTCTTCTTCTGCCCTTTCGACTTGTCACAAGTAAACACTGCATTGCTCAGTGCGGTATGCCTGCACAACTTCAAAATGTCCTTTCCTCCAATAATTTAGAAAACTTTTACAAGTCAGAGACACATTCACAACAGTTTTTGGCTGTAAAACATTTGGAGATTGCTGTAATAAAAGTGATCCAAATGCTGCAGTGCCAGTGATGTTTTAACGAGCCTTTGGAGGAGTTAAAACATCTGTCATTTATCAGAGCCACCACCCACAAAGGTCAGGGGGATTTTTCTGTGAGCTGCAAGCTGGGGTATCTAAGTCCCCAGCGCATGATTGAACTGGTGGGTGTCTGCACGGCTGAAGAATGGCCCCGAACAGCAGATGGGTAAAGGCCATTAACTCCAAATGCACGAGGAATGCAAACGGGAGCGCAACATGGTAAGTCTATATTAAGAGCTCTGTAGCCATCTAGTGGTGGCAGGAGGGAACTGAAAGTAACAGAGGAACAATTGTGGTTTCCTGAACTCAAAATACAAGCAGCAACGCACTACTTGTGACTCAGTTTTCGTTTCTTTTAAATCTCAAAGCCTAGTAGCAGTATATCAAAATGACACAAAATTTTCCAAGGCTTTAATGGATGTTTAAGCTTGTACTGTCATAACAAATACTTTGGATGTCCTTAGGCCTATAGGCTACTTGAAGATGAAAGATTACAAGTACACATTCAGGAAGAAAAAGTTGGTCTGAACCACCATTTTATTTGGCATAATTTAAAATCATCTCACTGTTAGTTCATTTATACAAATATGTTTTGTTATATATAAAACAATTACAGATTCTACAAATCAAGTTCCCAGTGTAAAAGCGTAGTACCACGCACACGTAGCATACAGCTCAGGGACACAGGTGTCTGTACAGGACAGACGAGCTTACCACAGTTTGTCACTTGCATTTAACATTCGACCCTCTACAAATGTATCTTCAAATAATGTCTCACATCTGTATTGCTCAAATTGTTTTAAACCTTTGTGCTACTCTTCAATTATTCAAGACTTTTCACAGGCCACAATCTAGATTTACCTGTTATGCAAGAAAATAATGTCTAAAGTAAGGGCAAATAACCATAGTCGTTATTTTAAAAATATAAAATGCATAAAACACTGAGATCTTACATGACTCTTTGATCAACCATTTTGACATAAATGATGTAAACAGTTTATTACACACTGCAATTGTTGTTCTTTTACAAATTAACCAGTCGCTGCTTAACAGGCATGTTTAGCACTGCTGATACAATGTAGGCTATCCATCTGTTACAGACAGAAAAAAATACTTTAAAAAGAGCCCCTAGTTTATGTGATGTGCTTTAAGGTCAAGTGGCACTTTGGGTTTGAGAAGAAAACAGTGGTGTGGTCTTTGGTTTGGATAAGGCACTGGACCAGGTTTAAGGCTCTCATAGTGGAAAGACCTGCTGCTCATTGATTAATGCAGCTACAATAATGTGCTTCCTCTTCTATGACATGACGTCTATCGATAAGCCTTGTGCAAGCCAGTTAATAACAATCGTGTATACGCGATAATGACTGTCATAAGAAGCAATAAAATCATTACAAAAAGGAACATTAAAAAGTGGTGGTTTATAAGTGTTAACTAACAAAGACATCTTACTGATCAAATAAACACTATTACAAAAAATATATTCAACTTTGGCCTTAACCATACAGTTAGGTTAAAACATTTATAGAAGGAAAACATTTACAGAGTAAATTAAGTGAAATACAGTCTCTGACCCAAATGTGTCCACAAATAATTTCTTCAACATGATTTAAAAGACTGTCAGTTTGAGTCTCAAGAGTAAGAGGCAGGCAGAGGAAAGCTTTGAGCCCAACTTTCACTTTGAGAGACCCGTAGCAGTGTGGGTTAATTTAGCAGAGACCTTATAACACTTGCTCTGCGATTACTGTAAGGGCACATGGTTGGTTGCTTTTAATGGGCTGCTTATCTCTTAAGGCCTAGATCCCTGGTGCGTGGCACTGAGAGACATTTATGCCACAATGGGCACTGTAGCCTCAGAGCTGACGCTCTAATCTGAGGATATAAACTGAGCCAAAATGACATTTGCCCAGAACTCATTGCACCTTGTCTGGACTCAACCTGCTTGAAATTAAAATGTGTTCATTTTCTGCTTGGCTCTTTGTTGGCAACTAAATGGGCATTCATGACAATTCTCTTGAGATGCAACCTAGGTAAGAGTATGAGGTAGTAATTTTTTCTCCACCCAAACTAAGGCAGATCTCTTCTCTCCAGTCAATCAGGGTAGCTTGCTTGGTTGGTTTAGATATAATTATGGCTTGAGACAACCATGTTCAGCATTTATAAGGCAAAGCAGAGAAGCTACAAATCTAGAACAGATGTAAATCTGAGAAGTGTACATATCAAAGTTAAAATGCAAGAAAAATAGGAGATTAGGTCTATTGCCCACCTTTGGCAAAGTCACTTTGGCGATGATGGAAATGGTGTCAAGTCCTCCAGGAGATGAAAAAGGAGGCGTGACAGAGAAGTTAAAACTCTGTGCAGGGCCAGGTACGTGATGACAACCTTTATTACACAGTGATCCTCATCTCCTGTGGATTCTACAGTCCAGGTCAGGAAGGCGTCCATTATAAAAGCACACACTTCTTGGTATTCTTTTTCGTGACAGGATACAACACTGCTCTCACAGCTTCAGCAAACACCTCCCGGACACCTTCCTGCAGGAGAGCTGAACACTCCATATATTTAACCGCACCAATCTGCTTGGCCAAAGAATTGCCTTGTTGCTGAGTAGTAGGAGCCAGACCCTGCTCTTTCAGCTTCTTCACTGTTTCAGAATCACCCCTCAAATCTCTCTTTGTGCCCACCAGAAGAATAGGCACATTAGGGCAATGATGGGACACCTCTGGGTGCCATTTGTGCCTGACATTAGCATGAGATGAGGGGCTACCAATGGAGAAGCAGATGATGAAGACATTGGTCTGTGGATAGGACAGGGTGCGGAGGCGGTCATACTCCTCTTGGCCGGCCGTGTCCCACAGGTTAAGGCTGACAGTGCGACCATCCACACTCATCTGAGCACTATAGTTATCAAATACTGTAGGAATGTACTCTTCTGGGAAGGCATTGGTGGTGTAAGAAATCAGTAGACAGGTTTTACCTACAGCCCCGTCTCCCACCACAACACACTTTATGGTCTGCATCCTGCCAACGACCCCTGGGGCTGGAGCACCTGACCACACAAGCACAAATTATAATTATTAATTTAAGTCATGCCAGTCTGAAACGGACCATTACATTTACTGAATAACACAAAATACATAGATTTCAAAGGGTACAGTTAAACATTTCTAAAACTTTCACACAGAAGCTGTCAACACTGTACTGATAATACCTGTATGTTGGAGGGGCTATTTTGGAGTCTTTCAAACGATGAAAAAATGTTTGCAAAGAATGATTTAATGTCAAGATTCAAACATGTTTAACGTTACGTGTTTAAAAACATGCATACAAATAGGCATGATCATGGTAAAAAGAAGTTCACCCTCAGCAAAGTAACAAAAATAACAGAACCAACACAACGTTACATGAAGATTGAGAAAACTGAATCAGCTACCACCCAGTGAGCTAACAGGCTAACTCGCTGGCGTTAGCTCCTCGACGTAATTTATCGAATTGGATTTAAGTTTGATGATGAAGTGGATTATGAACTCCTACTAACACAAAGTTTTCCTTGGCGCTGAAAGACAAGACTCGAATATAAGTTTAGCTCGGATCTAATGCAATTCACTGACAAATTACTGAACACTCATGATACTAGGCGTTCCCCCGAAGGCTAGCACTTGGCTAAGGAACTAGCCTAATGTGGCTAAAAAGTTAGCTACTTTATCAACAAGCTGATGGTTATTTTCCAAAGATCATCCTCCAAATTACGTTTCAGAACATGCAATAAAGCCCTACCCCGGCATAAAATGTGTCAGATACACCGGCGAATGCTTTTTGACAAGGTCGAGTAGAAACACAAAAAAGTGAGTATTTTGCGACTTACCGCCACTCAGATTTCGATCTCCTTTTGCCTAGTTTGAGTCAATCACAGCCGCATCCGGGGAATCGCACAGTACGTAACTAAACACACGTTTTCAAAGCACTCTGGGAGCTGTAGTTTTTCAATAGCTGAATATTTTCAACACAAGGGGGCGTTGTTACTTTACATTATGTGCTTGAAATGTATTTATAAATTTCACTTCAGTGTCTTATTTGCACCATGGAACTATTATTTGCACTGATAGATTGTCATTAAGCCTATTAAAGCCTATTATATATATATACATATATACATATACATACATATACACACACATATATAACATATATATATATATGTATATGTATATGTGTATATATGTGTGTGTGTGTGTGTATATATATATATATATATATATATATATATATATATATATATATATATATATATATATATATATATATATATGTAATTAATTAATTAATTGGTTAATGCATGTTGTCATTGTGCTGTTTGGAGACATGATGGAGACAACACAACATGGACCAGAGAAAGTGAAGGAGAGAACTGTGTCAGGAGACTATAAAGAAAATTATAGACAGGCAGAATGAAGATAAAGGCCATAAGGCCATCTCCAAGCAGTGTGATGTTCCTGTTATTACAGTTACACATGTTATTCAGAAGTTTAAGGTCCACAGGACTGTAGTCAACCTCCCCGGACGCAGCTGCAAAAGGAAAATTTATGACAAATTGAAGAGATGGATCATACGAAGGGAACCAAAGAGCCCAGAACAACCTACAAAAATAACACTATCCTTACTGTGAAGCATGGAGGAGGCTTCGTTATGTTCTGGGGCTGTTTTGCTGCATCTGGCACAGGGTGTCTTGAATGTGTGCAAGATACAACATAATCTCAAAACTATCAAGGTATTTTGGACCAAAATGTGTTGCCTAGTGTCAGAAAGCTTGATCTTGGTTGTAGGTCATGGATCTTCCAACAGGATAATGACCCAAAACACACAGCTAAAAACACCCAAGAATGGCTATGAACAGAACATTGGACTGTTCTGGAGTGTTCTTCTGTGAGCCCAGATCTCAATTCTACTGAAAATCTGTGAAAGGAGCTGAAACATGCTGTTTGGAGAAGGCACCCTTCAAACCTGAGACAAGAAGAACAGTTTGCTCACGAGAAATGGGTCAAAATACCAGCTGACCAGTGCAGAAGTCTAATTGACAGTTACAGAAATCATTTGATTGCAGAGTTTGCCTCAAAAGGCTGTGTAACAAAATATAAAATCAAGGGTACCATTTTTGTCCAGGCCAGTTTCATTATTAAGTTTTTTTTTATTATTGTGTTGAACCACAGGTGAAAAGCAATGTTTGATTTTTGTAGGAAAATTTTCAGTAAATTTTTATGTATTATTGCTTTTATCAATTATTTCAGTGATGATTGTTGATTTTTCTTTCATTGCCAGAGGGGTACCAACAATTTTATCCACGACTGTATATTATATCCACAACTATATACACACACACACACACATATTAAAACACGCCAACTTTTTACTCACATTTCTTGGTGTATACAGACAGACAATGCAAATTAACCATTAATGTTTACTACCTTTTGGGGACTTTTTTTCCAAGTCATCAGGATCAGTGCAGGACTATAACGACTGCAAAAGACTTTATGCCCCACATCCTTAGAGATCCATAATGATTTCACTTCTTTATGGGGCAGGTTAAGAGGCCAGCCCTGAGCGACAACCGGACACTCAGAAAAACAAAGAGGCACAATTTTATTGCCTTTCCCAAGAGAGCTTTGGCGTCAATGCAGACTATAAAAAGGAAAGTCCCACTGGGACTCCTACAACCATAGGCACCCTCCAACCCAACCTCTGCACCCCTGTATTTTACCAAGACATACCATGAGACAAATGTGGTATATCCATGACAACTGAAGTGGTGTGACTGACATGAGATGGAGATGCTGAACAAAAAAATAGGGCAACAACACAGGGTTGCTTTGTTTTATTTTTCATTTACAAACAGACATTTGACAGTGAACATCAGCCACTGTTTAAATTTATTATTGATTTTTTAAATATAAAATTACACTAAAGGAGCCCCTTGTTTACTTTGTAAAGTGCATAGTCCCAGGAGCCTCCTTCTGAAATAAAGAGGGGTCACTGTATGGTGCTGTACCAAGCTCTGATCATAGCGTGAGACAGTTTACATGAACTTAATTATGACAAAAATTAAACAAATTTTGTAAAACAATGCATTTTTACAGATTAATTTAAGAAACTGTAAAAATGGTCCAATCTATCCTAAAATAGCCTACATTTTGAGAACATGTGTTGAATAATGGTCCAATGCCTGCAAAGGACAAGAAGGAACAAGAGGTAGAGAGAAAATCTAATAAATTTACCAATGTTTTTCTTCTTAAATTTAAAACAAATTACAAACTTTAAGAATTTGCAAAATGATGTCACTGCCATTCACTTCCACAGAGGCTGAGTAGATGTAGGACGTGCTATTTTGGCATTAGGAATACGTGAAGGGATTTTAGAATTAGTAGCCAGTTGGTTAGAGGGTGCAATTGTCATGGCAGTTTTACTTCGAGCTGCGGATATTACAGTTGTACGAATGGTCTTAGCAGTGGTAGAGGTGATACTATTAGTTATCCGAGGTGGCGAGGGAATCTGAGTTTCAGTGTTTGGGGCAAGTCTTTTAGTCACACGGAGTGGAGATCCTCGGATGAAAGCTGGTTGGTTTGTGACAGACATTTTCTCTGGTTGGTCTGAGGTCCGATGGATAAGGGGCTGTTTTGTTGTCTTGTCCCTTGTACTGTTACTTCTTCTGATGTCAGCTATAGGAGCAGCAGGTCTGGATACAGGAGATGTCCTCATGGATACAGTACGAGTTGGACGGTTAGCAGTACTTGAGTTTGTAGGTGTGCTTGTGCTATTTGAACTTTCAGCTTTAGACCGTACCCTGGGAATACCAGTGCTATTAGTAGGACTTGCACGTGAAACAAGTCCCCTTTTTGCTCCGATCCCTCTACGCACTGGAACCTTCATAGTCCTGGTCTCTTCCTTTGAGGCTGGAGACCCTGGAGGCATTCCATCCCTAAGGTCCACTTCTCGCTCCTTTCTCCACTTGGAGCAAAGGCTTGGTGTGGGTCGGGGGAGGGGGGAGGATTGGGGTGACAATGTATCATAAGAGCACAAGCCTTTGACCAAAGTGTGACACTCCAGCATTTCACCCACACGTGTGTATAGTTTTACGTTGTCCTGCTCCTGACTGGGCAAATCTGGATTCTCTTCAGGTTGGGACTGGGTTAATTCTGGTAAACTAGACGGCATCCAGTTCTCTCCCATGGGGGTGAAGGTCACTTTGGGGTTTGTATGTTTGGTATTTTCAGCAGCTGTAGGCACTTGTGAATTAAGTTCACTGGTATAGGCTGGATTTTCTGATTGACTCTCAGATTTTTGATGATTGATCTTTGTGTGATTTTTTGTTTGAGAATAATTTAGACATGACTCCTTTAGGTTTTTAAAAGGGTCAGTATTATTTACTACTGGATGACTGAGCATGTCACTTTGACAAATTGGGGAGATAGCAGCAGAGTTTGTCAAAGAACTGGGCAAACATATTTTTTGTTCATTTGAAATATCACTTTCACTTACACATGTCCCAGTAAATTTTGAATGACCATGCATACCATAGGAAATACTGTCACTCTCATGGTGCCTAATTTTATAACGTTCATGATGGGATTTTGAAAAAGAGGAGTCCTTGTTTGGATTAAGTCGAACATCCAGCACAGGTTCTGACTCAATAGGTGAACACGTGCCATCAGTGTCAGGCGAACTACAAACCGCAGCAGTAGTCTCATGGTCAGATGAACTGTTGGAGTGACAACTATTTGATGTGGGGCTGCTTCCAAGCTCTGGAAAACGTTTTATTGTGAATGAGTTATGCCGGCGAACATTGTCATTTTGAAGGTGTTTGCGAGAGTCCACACCTCTGAGGCTCCGTCGACTCCACGTGGATCTCAAGTTCTTCTCCAGAAGTTTCTCTAGTTCATCTTGGTTTTCCAGAGTCTGAGGACCTCTGGCCAGGCTCAGGCCCAGGTCTAGTCCCGTACAAACAGCCACGGAGCGGCGCTTTTCCACAATTTCACGTTGACGTTCCAACCTCTTCTGCTCCTTCAACTCTCGTTCAGTATTCTCCTATAATAGAATCAAACCATACATACTATTGTTATTGTATTGTAAACGTATGAATTATATTCAGTAAATCTATATGTGTCTAACCTGAACAGCTCTTTGGAAACGAAGGCAAAACATATGAAAGACCCTGCAGGCCTCCTCTAGTTTAAACGTGCTGTCATCTTCACAGAAGAAGTCCACCAGAGCCTGACTGGACATTCGCATACCTTCAACTTCATCCTCCACCTCCCGCAGTCGCTCCTCAGCCATCTGCAAATGTAATGTTTTTATGAAGACATCAGAATATAAGACTCCATCCGCCCTGAAACACGGCCAGTTTGTGTTTTACCTCCAGGAACTGTGCGTGCTGCTGAATCTCTGGCTCACACTGAATGTCTGCCTTCAGGGTCGCAACTCTGCCTTTCAGCTTAGAAAGGTCCTCCAGGACTGAGTCCATGCAAAGCCTGAGGGAAGAGGCCCAAAGTTAAGAAACAAATAATGAAATACTGTGTTTTTCCAGCATGTGACACAGTCTCTTCCAGTACACGTTTATCTCAGAGCATGCTTTGAACTTTTCAAATCATCATTAAAAATTTGGCTTCAGTAACAACAGATTCTTGGCATATAATCGTGCTATTAAACAGAGGTCTATGTATTTGCTCATTTGTTGAACATGATGAGATGAGATGAATTTTGGGAAGAAACTGACCTGGAGGCGGGGCCAACATGACCTAGTTGGCTGGGAAAAGACAGCAAACTCTGGTCCTTTTTCACAGCTTCCTGTGTAGACCAACACAAGTGATTATCAAGCTATTGTGTCAAAAGTAACAACAATGCTTTGTAAATGTTTAAAAAACATGAGCACTGTGAACAAGTTGCAAGAGAATGTGAAGTGGCTACATTGCACAATACAAACTACCGAAAAATCTTAATGATTTTTTGTAACTAAAATGTTTGTTCTTACCATTGCAACAAAATGCAGAAGATTCATTCCTGGCTTGTTGGCTTTAGTATCTGCGAGCTTGAGCAAAGAAGGAATACGGAAACCTGCAGCATTACCCGAATAGCCACCCTGAGAACAGTTAGAGTTAGAGAAACAATACTCACATCCAGATGTACACACAGCTAAACAAATATAGACACAAAAGGCAGATAAACTCAGTCTAACACACACTGAAAAACCCAGGCATAATATATACACTCACAGCATTCATATAGTTTCCTGCCTTCAGTACCAGACGCAGGATGGAGTGTAACTCAGGACAGCTCAGCAGTTCTGAAAAGTAAGGAGACAGATTCAATGAGGTGCTTCCTAGTGAAAAAAATTATATTATATACTGCTCCTAAAAACATGTGCTTGAATAAATCTGCTATATTGCTCTGAAGTGCTGACTAGTGAAATAAATTTTATATGCTGGAAAACTGCTTTTTAATTTCTATATCTCAGTGATTACATTAGCATTTTGCCTACGCCCTCAGTTAAGAGTATTACAAGCACTTGGGTTTCCAGAGGTTAGGATGGACACTCCCTGCTGTTACATTACCTCGTGCGGCCTCCCTCAGACATCTGGCTCCCACACACAGAGAGGTCACGGCAGGGTCAAACTCTTGTTGCAGGATCATGGCATCTAGACGCAGCCGAAAACTAATGTGAGAGGAGACGGAATGAGTGATGACTGGTGATTGATAATGGAGACAAAAAGGCACTCCTGATCAGTCAACAGTTAAACAGCATATGTCAAGACAAAGTGCAGCACGTGAACAGGATGAAATGAAGGCAGTCAAGGGGAATTATCCGAAAATGAGACGTACCTGGGGACTTCAACCAAGAGCAACATGAAAAGGTCAGGCTCCCCCAGACAGCTGCGCTCCCCACTAAATTTCTTCAGGCGAGATACCTTAGAGATAAGAGAAGAGGGAATGTTTTAATAGCTGAAACATTTAATACAAGTAAACAGGTGTAAGCATTTATATTACAGGTGAAAATTACTATCCCCTGTTGATTTTGTGTTATAAGTCAGTTTACCTCATCGCCATCAGGTAATAATTTGCAAAGCTCGGAGAGTTTTTCAGCTCCATAGTGATCCCCAGCACCCTTTCTGATATCTTCCACAATCTCCTTAGGCGGCCTGCAGAAAAGACAACAAGAACATTAAATGTGATAAACAGAAGGACTTGTGCCATCTTGTTTAGCGCGATGGGCAAACAGAATCAAACATTATTTTAAAATACTCTTATCAGCTTATCAGGCTCTGGCACAGCAAAGTGCAAAGTGGGAGGGTGGGTGGACGCCAAACTGACGGCTTGATGTGGCATATCCACAAGACAAATAGAGGCAGACGAGGGTTTGGGCAAATCAAGGTGAGAAGTACAAGAACCAGAGGATATGTTTAGATGTTTGACTCTTTAACCTGTGACTTAGTTCTTTTATCTGTGTCCGGGCTTCCTCAGTTTTCCATTATGGTCTCCCTCCCATCCCACTCATTCACACACTGATGTGTAACTGTTGCTTTAAAAAGTCTTCTCTTGTGTGTCAGGGTATTTCCTTTACTCCTCATGACAGCTTAAAAAAGGAAATGTGACTTCCTTTGATGAATTAAGGTAACTACATACAGTATGTACACAAGTGTCATGCAATTCACACATGCAAAATCACATAAAGGCAGGTTGCTGTTGGTTCAGTTTTCCTATACAATATTTATAAAAGATCCACTTTTATTAAACGTCTTTACATCCAGCTTGTTCAGAGAAGCCCTCTTTTGTTAAGGCGTTCAATTAATTCAATTGACCCTTCATGCACATAGCAATAAAGCAACTTCCAGCTTCCTTTCTTTTTATTTTGACTATCATAATTTCCAATAGCAAAGTCAAAGCCATTAATAGTAAGCATATACAAAAGAGGTTAAAAATGGTGTATACAAAAACAATAAAAAGACCTATTACAAACTGGGCTGTCTATCAAAACTTGAAAAGACATCCACATTTGCCACTATAACCTCTATTTTAACAAGACCCATCTCTGTTATAGATCTTCTGCATCTGTTCCTTGTAATACACACCACACATCTGCTCCACTGGTCAGTTTTCACACTCCGACAATAATATAACCACTTCTCAAATTAACCTAAAAACCATGGATAGCTCCCTTGGGCACTGTTACTTCCTGTTCTCAAAACTAAATGAACTTTTTACACCTTTTCCCCTTCAGTGTCTGCCAACAGTCAATACTTGTGATGTTTGGTTGTGAAAAGGAGAAGACAGTTAATAATCAGATTGTAAATTTAATTAAATTGGGACTTACATTTTGAATTGCCGCAAAAATATTCCAATGTTCATACTGCGCTTTGAATCCAAAAGAGAAATCTAAAAACACAAAATGAAGAATCTGGTATTTGGGTGATGGTTTTGTTGTTTGTAAAATCAAGAAAATGTGCTAACCTCCTCTGTGTCATCCTGAGGAGACAAACAGCGCAGCAATGTAGACCTCCGCCTCAGCTGTCTGGTTCTATCCTGAGGTTTGTCTTTCTGTCCAAACAACTCATCCAAAGAATTGAGATCAATGGGGAACTCATCTTCGTCCAGGCCTGCTCCAGTCCAAACACTCTTACGCCCCTCTACCCTCTCTTTGGGAATTCGCTCCCAGTTTAGTTTCCTGAGCTGGCGCCTGACAGTGTCCTGCCGATTTAGAGTTGGGACACTGGGGGGAGCAGGTGGCAAAGGGGGCGGGGGCGGAGGAGGTGGAGGTGGTGGGGCTACGGGAGGCGATTGTTGAGCGGCCCGCACCGAATCCATGGCTGTCACATCCACTGTGTTATCATGAAAAGGCTGTGTCCCATGAAAGGCACGATGAAGAACCACTGTTAATTTGGAAGGTACTCTTTACATCCCCCTCATGTCCATTGGACTATGTGTCAAAGGTCCATCATGAGATACAGTCTAGAATGCAAGAAGAAAACAATCAATTAAGTAAAATCCATTGTGGAATCCAACAGTTTTGCAACACTCTGCAACCCAGGCAGATGACCTCACCTGGATATTTTAAATATGTCTGACACATGGCTTTGCTTCTCCTTTCATTAGCATCTGCTTTGACTGCAATGTAACAACAGCCTCTGTGTTAAGCCTGTAACCTCTAGTTCAACTTTCAGGTTAAGTTCAAGGATTTCTAGGGAAAGTCCAGGAGCACTGCTATGGTCTGTTTGAGCAGCTTGTCCTGTCCTGTTCAGTTTCACCTCCACACATTCACACACGCCTCCAGCATGTGCCCTTTCCTCTCTAATTAAAACACATCAGCACCCCCACAAGAATACTGAGGACACAGAGTTAACCAAATACTAAACTTGACACATACTTGCTGATCCTCAGCTCACCATGGGAGGTAAACCTTTAAAACATCAGCTGCACACAAGATTGATAGCAATAATAATTGTCAGTGATTCAGAGCCAAAAGGTCTCTGCTAGTAACTCTAATTATGACCTTGCATTTTTACTGGGTCAAAAAAAGAAAAAGAGAAAAGAAATTCTCAATCATCCTCCATGCGCCACAAGAGGGAGCTGCGTACATCGCCATATGTCACTCACCTGGCAGTGGCTGTATGCTAAAACTGAGTGAAAAAAGTAGCCTGGAGTAAAAAAGGGGATGGATTTGCTTGAAACATAAAAACGGCTTCATAATCTTTAAAGCAAAACAACCTAAATAGCAAAACATAGCCCAAAAGTGTTCTCAATAATTTAAATACGCTTTTGGGGGTTCACATCTTTACTCATCTTTTACTTAAACTGAATAAACTGCCAGGATTACATAAGTAAACGGGTGAATATAAAGCCATCCAATAACGTAATGCAGTTTCTTTAAGCGCAGTAAGTAATTCAGACTTACCTGATCCAGGGGGAAAAAAAGAGTGGCCTACATCTCTGCTCTAAGAGCACCCACACACGCGAGGATGACGATTTCAACGCGAGCCACAGGTAAATATCCAAACTTGTTATTTGCGTGGAGCCGTGTGTCTGGGGCCCATTCCCTCAGCCGCACTCACTTCTCTCCAGTCTTTCTTTATTGACTGCTGCCTGGAGTTGTAGGGAAACTTCCACAGCTTCACATGAACGAGCATGAGCGCGCCCCCGCTGCCTGATATGGCTTTATTGTCCTCCTACTTTTCCCAGGGGCTGGATTAGAGGATTCAGGTGGGAGTGCTTTGGATGTTGAAAATAGTTTAGTCATGTAGCTTTTGACTTTACAACTGAGGAAGAAAAAAAATCTTTTACTGTAACCATAACAACTGAGCAACTTTTGCTCAAAAAAGTTTAATGTCCTTGCCAGCATATAAATGTGTACTTGTAAAGATGCAAATTCTAAGATGAAGGTGAATGTTCAGTTCTACATTTTTCTGCAGCAGTAGTAGGCAATTAGTAGGCATTTATTGTAACAATAGTTTATTCTGCAGTAGAAATACAGAATGCAGATCTGTTTAGAACTAATATTTTGTGAAGACAACATGAAGAACCTTTGATACAAAATACTGCCACATATCTTCACTGTTTGCATGTCTCAATCTACATTCCTCATGCAAATATACTGTGGGTGCAATGTGGTGCACAGTTCCTTGATCAGAAGACTATTTGACAACTGAACAGTGGTGGATAGCAGAAGGCTATCAGATATAAGAAACAGGGTCAATATCTCCGCCCTGTGCTCTGATTGGTCCATTGTCTCTTAGGTGAGGAAAAGTTACATGTCCCCTGTGGGTGCTGACATATCCAGACACTGGTTTGTGGACTGAAAACACAGAGCTTTCATTCAAGGTGCTGGAGCACTCCTGACCCACGTCACATCGCAGTCTCAGGTAGCCCCTCTCTGCGCTGCGCCGACAGGTAAATGTCATCACCTGTGAGTTTGCAGTAATTAGGAGGTTATGACCCCTAAGATCTTGTTATTGTTGTCCCAATGCAGCAGGGCATGTTATAGTGAACCTGTGCCAGAATCAACCTCTCTCAGGAAACTTTGCTTTCTACTCACCCACTTCTCACAGCACAGTGCAGTGCTCAGAATACAAGGAAATGCCACTGTTGAGAGACAGCTGCTTTATGGGCCATAAAAAGCCAGTACAGCACAATTCGACATCTTATGCCAGCATCCTTGTCACACAGGCCGCCAACAGTGATTAATGAAAGGAGGAATTAACTTGGCATCTTGCACATTTTGCGCCAACTCACAGCTTGTCCTTTCACTTTTGCAGTGGATAACAGATTTTTTTTTTTTATTCATACTGCAGCTTACTTATGATATCATATAAGATGTACATACCATGTAAAAAATTAAGGTTTAATATTGAAACTTTCTGTTGACAAGTAAGTGAAATAAATACTGATAAAAATTTGTTTCCAAGATCATATTGTGTACTTTAAATTAAAGCATTATGACTATTGGTTTAGTTGTCCTGATTGGAATATATGGTCAACCTCTGATGATGATTGGTTTTATTTTACTTAAAACCCCTTTCAAGAAAGAAATAAGGATTAACAGGATTGCTCTGTAACCTTCACCATCTCTGCCATAATCTCACTTTGAAGTTGGTCTCAGGTTATGTAAGGGTGAGGGCTATTAGCTCCCGCCTCCCTGTACTTACACACTGGTAATGACAGCTCACACAGTCACACCAACAGAAAACATAACCTGACAAGTGCATTCTGCAGAGCTTTTGCCATGGGTATTGGATTTGTCTGAAGGACCCTGCTATGATGCTATTTCACCATGCAGAAATGAACCTGGATGTAATGAAATCTATATAATGGATTTTCTATGCCTGGATGCTGCATTTATACCGTTATGTAGATTATGTTTCAGTCACTTTTAAAACTGGTTATCCATAGTTGTTGTACATGGTCTTCTTGTTGTGGTACCTAGGAGTCTTCAGCCAGTTCTCTGAATTAAATTTAGACCCTTTTGTGGCTATGTGTTAACCACCTCTTTAATATATCCTGGTTTATTTCAGATTCTTAGAAGTGGTTTATTTAAGAATAGATTTTAAATTTAATACTCTAATACTTTTGAACTATATTTTGTATTTATTTTGTTAATTTTAATGATATTTGAAAATCTAAATAGTATATGGTATTTGATGTTCACTGTTTGGTTATTCTGCTCAAGGAAATATGATTGTTGTGATTTCTCTAGGATAAATAGGTCACTGCAACTTGAGTTTCGATGTGTGCGCAAACTAGTATAGACAAAGTGTCCGACGCACCTGGGTTTGATCTGGCATGGGGACAGGGCGCACGGTCTGGGGGAGGCCCTCATAATCAATCCCAGCTTTCTCCTCAGATCTTTTCATTCAGTTCCCCAGCTGTGCTCCATGCACTCAAGGAGAACAGTCTGACAATCATCTCTGGCTTTGGTCAGACATACGACCTGATAAGGAGAGACAGCAGAAAGAGAGAGACAGCACAGTTACACTTTTCCCACATAATGTCCTCCATGTCTGCACAGTGCATGGGACCAATCCACGCGACAAGCATGCATTTTTGGACATTGTTGTAATATACATTAAGGGGGTTCTTCCTGCTTTGAAATACAGGGGGTCACAGAATCACAGACAGGCTAGTGCATTATCGTGGAGACGAGAACCAGACTCTATCAGCTCAAAATTCTCAAGATCAGTGGTAACAGTAGCAGTTAAATGTAGTTGCAGTTATTATAAAGAACAATTTTCAAAAGGACAAGGCCATTTTTAATCTCATTTAACTGACTTTATGCGATATGCAGACTGTAAGCTTTTATGTTGTAGTAAGACACAGGAAGTCAGCATTTCTTGACATATTTCGAATGATCTCCAGCAAGTCTCAATTACTGTTATAGTAAAAAATATAGTAATCCCTGTTTGCAAAATGTATACTTTGGTCCAAAAGAAACATGACTGAAGTGAATGACATGATGAAAATAATCACTGTACAGATTGCAATATTGTTCAGTTTATATGATCACCACATACTATTGGATTGCTGATTTTCTCCCTCTCTTTTCTTGAAACAATATCAGTGATAGTTTGTTTTTCAATCTATAGACAACAGATAACATGACTTTTGTGAACCCTGGACCTCAGCATGTGTGCAGACCATCAGGGCTTTTAGAGCGGAGGTGTCTCTCACTGTCCATTGTCCCTTGGGGGTGGCACAGTTTGTCTCGACGCATTTGTCCACTGTAGTTGCTTCCGACTCCTCTTAGGATTTCCTGAGACTCAATAAAGAGGATTATTGGACCACAAAAACAACACAGCCACCCCATCACCCTGTCTTCTACCTTCCTGCCCAGCTGCCATGACCATTACTTGTCCCAAATAGTGTCGCACTCCACTTAAGGCTTACAATGGAGCAGACAATGAAGGCTTTTTCTCATAATTTAAAACTACAGCATCTTCTTTCTCTTGTCAAGCTTTAGTCCACAGTCTTCTCATATGTGAAATGAATTATAAATGATCTCAGCCAATCACTGGAAACTCAGTTCAATCCACTGATGACAAATTCAAGGGAAAAATGATTTTGTACCAAGTTGTGGCTGGGCAGAGAGCCTCAGAAGGGAGCTAGTTTGTGCACATAGACGTTGTATAGGGCACTGCTTGTGTGGCAAGAATGATCACACAGTTAATATTCAAAGGCCTGGGACTGTTGTAAAGAAGCCACTAAATAGAGGCTGACAAAGCGCGTCGTCGAAACAAAAGCTTCCCTCTAAGTAGTCTGTGTAGATAGCATGAAGTGCAGAGAACGGTGGGTTTTGCTAGGGTGGTCATGTTTGGAGTCTATAGTGAGTTATTAAAGCGGGGCCTCCTATTTTCCCTCCCCCACTGCTGCATTAACACCAAACCCAGCCAAACCAAACCACAAATACTTGAATTGCTTCTCTGACTTTTATGTGTTTTATTCAGCATTTCACAAGGCACCCAAAGCCCTTGTGCAGTTCATTTGTTTGATAGAGCAGTAACAAGTCTGTTGGGATCTGGATGGGACAAGCCAACATAAACATGTAAACAGCAATTAAAGCATTACATAAAACTTTAAATATTGATTGTAAATTGTTAGTTCTTTGTATTGAATAAAGCCTCTCAAATTCCTTTCTACATCACTACACACACATTTTACTGTGCACATACACAGGAGCTTCAAGCTCCTAAAACCAATTATTCCCCCCAGCTTTTCTGTGCCAACCAGTGATGTCACCCACAGAGAGACAGTGGGACATTGGCTCACTGCCTGAGGGCTGCCGTGTTGGAGAGGAGCAGAGCAGAGTGAGGGGAGAAACAGGGGAGCTGGGTTCTGGCTGGACATGTTGTGGGTGCGGATTAACCTTCTGCCTATGTCCTAAACACAACCTGGTCCTGCTGCATCTTCCTCAAATCCAAACAAGCCAATGTTTCAGAAAAAACAAAGCGAATAATGGACTATAGGCCCTGAAGGGACTCCCCTCAGGATTAACCTGGCCTCTCAGCTCTTTCCATCATTTCCACCAGCTCGGTGTGTTTGTGTTCAATCTATTCATCCTCACTAAACGGTTGCATAACAATGCAGCCTGGCTTTTGCTCTGGGACAGGAGCTGTTGGTAAAACATGGTGCCCTCGGGCCTGGTCTCACGAGCTGCAGGCCAAGACTGTGGTGGATGTGATGCTTACAGCAGCTAAGGCAGCTCCACTCTTCTGACACATGTATTTATTGATAAATTTGACACAGATTGAGCTGTTTCTAACACAAGGCCTCTTTAGTGTGGCCAGTCAGAAGGCGACAAGAACAGTCATTGTAAATGTGTATAATAAATGTTTTATTCAACCGTCTTCATGACCCTTAATGTCACAGCACACTGACTCAGTGGGATACAGTAAGGCCTTACTGCAAGAGCTTCTTTGTACGCTGTGGAAATCACGTGCAAACCTGATGCCCTTCCTTCCTCTCTGTGTCTGAGGAGATGTGTCACGTTTGGCAGACGTAGAGAGAGGTTGAACAAAAGGATGAGAGTGAGATGGCCAGCTGAGTTATTTGGTCAAACCAGTAAAATGGACAGAGCGGCTGTTGCTAGGCTCTGTGCACAGTAAGAGAGAGAGAGAGAGAGAGAGAGAGCCTTCTGGGCGCGCTCAG